CTCAAACACTACTGAATTCTCTGTCAACAACATTTCTCCTTCATTTTCTCCTTGAAGTACTTTGCGTAGCGTTAGACTGCAAGCTAATTCAAAAATCCCGCGATTTGAGTTTTTAAGTTATGATCCAAGAAACAGATAAAAGTAGTAGAAGAATTATGATGAAGATGGATTGGAAGCACACGCTGAGGAGATTGACTGCCGACTGACATCACGCGGGACAGGTCAGTGCTTCAGTGGAACTCGAATGGGGGAGCAACGAGGCATGGGTGTCGTTTTTGTAAACTGAGGAGGTCGTGTGAGAAGGAGATGAGAGTTTATGGAGGAATTGCTATACAGGACTGAAGAGAACAGGATGATGAAGTGTAGTGATCCCGTTAAAGTCCTGTGTGTTACACTTGGCGTATAAACGACTAACACTGACACAGTAGTTTAAGCAGGCGTCTCCAGAAAATTATTTCAAAGTATTTCAAGTCGTTTAATCTTGCGTGAACTAATCTCAGCATAGGACTATGAGACCTGGCCATTGAGAGTGGAAGACATGAAAAGATTAACTGTCTTTGATCATAGGTGCCTGCGTTCTATCTCCCGTGTGAAGTGGTATAATAAGGTGAGCAATATTGAGGTTAGGCACCGGTCGAGTGCTGGGTAAGGTGGGGAAATCAATCGGAGAGGTTGTGAAGTTACATCGACTGAGATGGTTAGGACATGTGTTACATATGCCTAGTCATCGCCTTCCTCGACGAGCAATGTTAGCTGATATAGGGTGAGGCTGGAAAAGAGCTAGCGGCGGTCAAACTAAATCATGGCACCAGTCAATGAAATCCACAACAGTTAGTTTAAGCCAGCTAGTCACGTAGGAAGGTGTAGACTTCCTGACTGGTTGGGGTGGTAAAATCCAATGGTTGGAAACGATTGGTGATATGGTTCAAAATCCTCGTTCTCAATGGCTGGTGCAGATGCATCCACTCCATGTGACTTATAATTTCCAATGAATCTGTTTTGTTCTTCGTTATTGCTATTCCTTTGTCTCACGCCCCTGTTTACTCTCTCTATTATGCATTTCTTCTCTTCCTTTGTTTACTACAAGGAGTGGAGTGTGGTGACTTGAACTGCTTGCTACACGTCGGTGCAAAGTTCTATGTCGAAAACAGACAGACAGACGGACACTGTAACTAAGCAATCACGAATCTATTGCCCAAAAATAATGCAGAAAGCCATGGAAAGGGATGAGGTACACTCTGTATGTAGATTGTTGAGTGAAATCACACTTCAGGTGTCCTCGAGAGGAACCTGAATGGTAGATGACGAGTTAAGCATCTCTTCGAGGATGGAGACAGACAGGTAAAGAGGACTACATACAACAGTGTGGGGTTCACACTTGCACATCATAATATGTGATATACTTGATAGAGTAACTGGAAATCAAGAGAGTGAACAAAGTTGCATAGTTGACGTTTCAATACAAACGTCAAGTCAGTCAGCTCCTCTATACGGATCAGAAACTTGCCTGTTGCATGCAGACCTTTATCAACAACTGTCTTCGCTGGCTCTATACTGAAGATCAGATGGCCGGGACGGACCGGAAAGAATTACCAACAACAAGAAACTCTGGCTGGGAACAAACAAAACAAGAACCAACCAATCGCCGCCCCACAAATATGCAGGAGAAAGTGGATGGTGATGGATTGGACACTCGCTGAGTGAGGAGGCCGCCACTGGGTGACATCGCGGGCGCATCAGGCCATTGCTCGAGTGGAACCAGGCCGACGAGTCGGACGTCACATTGAGAGTGACATGGAGGAGATGGTGTGAAGAGAGAAGAGTTGAAAGAGTATGGACTAACATGGATGGATGCAGGTGAAAAGTACAGCAGAAGGAAGACAGAAGTGGCAAGTGGAGACGTGCAGTTGAGGCACTATGTTCCACTAGGAACCCACCTATTTAGGAAGTTGTATCAGCACCAACAGACTGATTGGCGACGAAATCTCAACACAGATCCAAAAAGCTCGAGCTGCTTTCGCTGACTTACACCATCTCTGGCGTAGGCGTGACATCCGGTTATCAACCAAGGGACGTGTGTACTGCTCATCAGTTCGCTCCGTCCTCCTCTATGGCTCTGATACATGGCCAATACGAATTGAAGACATGATTAGGTTGACTGCTTTCGATCATAGATGTCTACGATCTCTTTCTCACGTTAGGTGGTATAATAAGGTAAGTAGTGTTGACGTTAGGCGTAGATTGTTGGGCAAAGAGGGAAAATCAATCGACGAGGCTATAAAGTGACATAGATTGAGATGGCTAGGTCACGTGCCGCGCATGCCTAACCATCGCCTCCCCTCCGTCGACGGGCATTACCAGCTGATATAGGTGCAGGTTGGAAAAGAGCCAGTGGTGGCCAAACAAAAACATGGCATCAATCCATGAAATCCTTGACAGTTAAACTGAGTCGGTCAGGTAGGGAGATGCAGACTCCCGGGTTGAGGCCCTCGGGACTCTAGGAATCAATGGCTGGAGACAATAGGTGACATGGCTCAAAATCGTTGTCAATGGCCAGCGCAGATGTATTCAGTCTCTGTAATCTTTCATATTCCTTTCTACCATTACCCATTCTGTTTCACTCTTATGCTTGTCAAACTCTATTGATTCTCTTCACTCATCTTCTTGTCTACCTCTGTGTGCTATTTGGAACGTGGCAACTCGAACTGGTGCACTTCGGTGCCAAGTTCTATGTTGAATCCAGACAGACAGACTAGGAACCCAAGGGAACAATAATAATAATAAAACATAGTTGCATGATTGGTACGAGCACTTGGTAAGGACTCCCGTCAACCGGTAGTCCTTGCTAGTGTAACCTCATTCGTTGTTCGTTTTGTCGTGATCTCATCCACCAGAACTCACGCTGTTTGAACTGAGTCGATTTGGCTACACAGTTGATGAGTGTCGGTCATTTCCAACTACTCATATATATATTTATCAGTAACATATAACGTCACACTTGGGTATACAATGCCAAATTCCTATTCTTTTTGTATTATCCTTAAGCTAAGAAATCCTTGTTCTCAATATACAACATTTTTTCAATATTTATTTATTTATTTAATTTTTAACATTTAGGATTACTATAAAATTATCAGTAATCCAATGGATTTATCAACACTTGAAAAATTAGTTAAAGAGAATCGATTTCATTCACGTGAAGAATTTTTCGAACGGACAGAATTAATTCTAAGCAATTGTATTACATTCAATGGTACTGAAAGTCCACTGACAGAGATTGCACAAAAAATGCTACAAGCTGCTCGTACACGATTGGAACAAGATAAGGAGACATTAGATACACTTGAAGCGAATATACGCAGGTGAGTAAAGATTTCTTTATTGTCTTTGTAACAACAGAAGACAAGGGCCAGGGAACAGATCGTTTATTAAGGAAATTAACACATATTTATAGATTTTCATGTACATTATTATAGATTATCGAAGCAAAGAAACCTAGTCTTCTGGTTGGTTGTTTCTCACTGAAAGTTAATCTTTCATCTCTTTGTGGCCGTTTCTTGAATGTCAGATCATCTATATGTTAATTGTATCCGCTTACGTAAAGTCTGATGTGATTGGTTGTTGAATTGGTCTTTGTTCTTATGTTTCTCACGACTAATATTGGGGATGTAAACATTGCCGTAAATTACTGTGTAACAATTTGGCTAGCAGCCAGATCTCACCACATCTTGATTTGATTAAAACTGAGCATTATTTTATTCTTTCTGGAACTTGCCAGTTAAATGCACTCGCATCCATCTTCAGGACCCAATTTCCAACCCTAACACCTTTCAAGAGTTACTTTGTGGGGATTTGATTTGTTTGAAGATGTTATGTACTCGTCGACAAATTTATTGTTATGGTCTGGTCGAGAAACTAATAGTCCTGACGCGAGAAGGTGGAAATCAGAAGACCACTAGGTTTGCGATGATACTTCTACTTTCCAAACACAAGGAGACGAAAATAAATGGTTTGACACCAAAGTGGTAAGTAAGTAAAGTAAAAGTGGTTCACACAAATTGTGTATGCGAAGTATATATGAATGTTCCAGACAAAGCGTGTGACAAATCATTAGACAGTCTTAACATGAATGGCTAATTATAATGAAGTATCGATCCATATATACGTAGCGAAATATAACAGACGTGTCAACAACCACACATATAATATGGATATCTGTCACCGAGCAACGGACTGTCAACAAACACTCATATTATATATAATATAATATAAGAATATACATTGTTAAAGGAGACAAGTTCATACAAGTGAAATGGTCACAGACTAAGAGAGCAAACAGAAAGAGAGACCAACATACACACACACACATAAATATATATATATGTGGATACATATCAGAAGAAGTTAGAATTTATGGGCTGACCTTTGAGTCGGGTTGAGTGATCTATGAGCCTGTCTTATAACCAGAAGAAGGTCCAAGGTTCGAACTATGGTGAGTGCCGATGATCCCCAAACTAGGACGAAACAGCTGTCCAATATTCCTGCATTGGGGTTTTCTGATGGTTCTCTAACTGATATCAATCGGTAGCCAACACCCTTTTTCTTTTCAAACGCCAAAACCGATGATAATTTCATCAAAATGAGAAATCGAGTCTCAATGAAGACACTATGTGATTCATTGGGAGGATATGTCCTGGATTCCATTGCTGCTGACCCACCATCAACTGAATAACATTAGGGTTAACTATCAAACGTCGGAAACCTTAGGCCGGAGAATTCTTAACAAGGCAGGTAGGAATAAAAGTGGCTGGCATTCGAACCAACCACAAACTCGATTAGAAACAAGCTTTGTCCGTTAAAGGGTCAATCCTGTGGGGCCTTTAATACAAAAAAATTTAGTTTATCTAATACCCTGTCTGCTGGAATGATTGTCAGGTCAAATACATAGGTCAGACTAGTAGAACAGGGGCAGTCAGTCAGATTAGCCGAACATAAAAACCTAGCGAAATCTAGATTGGCTGACCTGAATAATATAAGAAATCTAGAGAATAGTTCAGCTTTACCACTCACTACATGCAGTTGCACACAACTATACAATAGGATGACAGGATTGAGGGTGAGTTTGATAACAGAAGCTTTGTTTATCAAGTCAACTGCAAATACATGTAATAGGAATGATTCAACACTTGTCCCAGATATCTGAAAAATTCTACTACCCCAGTGGCGACAAATAGGAGAGGACAAAGGAAGCTATAAAACTCAAGTTTCAAAGTCGTGTGATTACAGTTGATACGATTGTGAACAACAATAAATTGTGTTCAAAACTCTGTCATCCAGTAAATAATACTGTTTCATCACTGTGTGTGTGATATATCTAATAAACAAACTAACATGGAGTTAACTGTACTGTTTGCTAAGCCGTGTTTCCATTACTGTCGTATTATAATGTATGGGGTAGAAACTCGGAATACTGAATGGTCTCCGATCTTGACTTATAACCGAAAGGGCCTAGGTTTAAACCCCTCTGGTGGCTGCGTACTACTGAGGAATCACAAGCTAAGACAAAACGGCTCTCCATTACTCCCAGGTTTTCCAGTGGAATGTCAGCTCATGATGATTTCCAAGCACATTTGACTGTCTATCTTGTGCTCAAACGTATGTCGGACAGCTAACTGCCTAAATGATATTTAAGAATTAACGTAATTGTATACAATATTATATTTACAGAAGCTTATATTTCCTCATAGTACCGACAATTTATCACTGTATATTTTACTGTTTGACTTGCGCGTCAATCGTTATTCTCACTTATGTGAAGATAGTTTCTCTTAACTGGCTATTTATCACTGCTATTAATTAAATAATGTTCTGAATTTAAAGCAACACGTCGAATTTGGTGTATCTGTCTGTATAACCGCAATTGTTCTTAGCGCCATTTTTGTCAGTTAAATAAAATTTTCTTCATTCCGTTAGTTGACTTGTTAGTGACGCTGATAATTGCTGTCGGTCAATGTGACATCAACCGATCACACTTCACTTATGCATGTCTATAAAATGCCATTCCTGGAATTCAACAATTCAACCCCAGGTTTAAGTGAAATTTGCGTGTCACATACTATACTACTATAGGTTTCAATATTCCAGAAAAGCCGGTTGGCTAGGTGTGGCTATAATCATAGTGTAACTTGCCGACACTGTAATGAGGGCCTGAGGACAGATGGGTATTCAGCAACAGTAAGATGTTTTTTTTAGGTGACCAGCAAAACAAGTTTTACTGCCCTTCCCCCTCTTGGATAATAAGAATTTGAAAGTCTTTACTCTGAAAATTATTCATCCTAAGTTATCTTACGGTAGCCCATATCAGGCAGTGAGATCCCGATGAAACTCCATACTGAACTGGCCAATCTTTGAGCAGCTGTCTATTGAGCTGTGTTGTCATGTAAAGATACTGTACTTATAACCCGTCAAGCTACTTTGTTGCTGATGAAGAGTTGTCATCTGAAATAACATGAAGGATGTCCCCTTTCATCAAATTAGTATTCAAATTTTTTATAAATGTATTAATTGGTTTTACTCTATCGAATTTAGGACTTCATGTTACCAGGAGTTTCGAACTCAGTTGGAGAGAGTGATGTATGCACGCTGGTGTAGGGGTTGTGAGACAGCTGTCCACTACTCACTGAACACCTCGATAATGGAATAAGTCATGCACATTCATGTAGTGCTAATAGTATACTTTTCAGAAAAATAATAGACCTTTTTAATTTAATTTTAGTCTTCCCGTTGATCTATCGATTGTTTGATTGATTAGGTTAAAATGTTCAGCGTCTGTTGACACGTCGGCTTTTAGTGCGGACGCTTCAAACATGTCTGAGGACTGATTAACATGAAGTAATTTGATGGATAGTAACTACATTTGAAACAAGATGGATGGGGACTGAGTTCGAGCCTCTCAATGGGAACCTGATCACTCACTCACTCACTTACTGGGTGGATTGCTGATGAGTCCCAAATATGACGAATTCCACTGCTAGTCGCTATTAATTACTTCAAAGCCTAATTGTTTTCTAAACACAATAATCATTGTGATCGGGTTTATTTTTCTGTTTTCTTTTTCCTTCTCCATCCGTATAGTAGTCATCTTGGAAATGAATCACAAAGTTGTCCAAATGATTCTAATTCTCTCCTATTAGAAGATGAACACCACCACCAACAACAACAACAAAAAGCCGTCAGTAGTAGTTCAAAATCTAAACTGCTAAAGCGTAGACTATCACCATTAAAATCTGCTAGTAAAGAAGAGAAACAAGAAGGAGGAGGAGAACCAGGAGAAGTTAAGAAAAAGTTGCATGGATTAATAATCGAAAAAGGCGACACCTCACCTCATCATCACCGTCATCATGATGTTAGTTTCACCAGTTCTGACGACCAAGCAACAATAACGCCTGAGAAATCAATGACAAATAAACCAGTAGATAATAACAGTGGTGGTAATACTGGTGGATGTGGTCGATTATTACGTCAACGATCAAGTGGAGCTTGGTATGGTGTCGACCTAGAGTATGATGATGATGATGATGATGAATCCGATGAGGATGGTAGTGCTAGAAGTGACGATGATGATAAGTATACGCATAAACCATCATCCTCTACTAAACGAATCCCTATTACTGGTAGTAGAAGTGGTACGTCAAAACAATGGATGACAACAGAAATAGACGATGATGAAAGCAATGAATTACTATACACATCAAAATCAAATCAATCAACGTCTAAACTTCAAGATTCTGAGCATACAGAAGATTCAAGTAAGTTATCACGTTTGGTTTTGATTCTTCGAACTAGCAGTTACCATCACCAGTGTTCTGTTAGTTGAGCAGTTACTAGACCCAAATGAAAGTGAGTCAGTTCACTGTTTCACTGCAGCTTAAGTGTGTCCACTTATCACCTGTCGTAGCCCAACCTGTAGAGCATTGAATTAGGGATTTGGTGGTCGCAGGTTTGAATCCTTCCCCTGTTCAGTATTTCATTTCACCTTCAAACATAACTGAAATATGCTTCATTGGCTTAAGCATTCGACTTTCAGCCATTTGATCCTGAGTTCATATCCCGTCCTGTCTTCTTTGGCCTTAGCAACTGGGTAGTAAGTGGCATTAGCTGCCAGACAGATCAGTAGGGCTCATAGTCTGGAACATGGAAGTCATGTTGTGCGAACTGACTTCAAACAAATACAACAACCATCACCGATTAGATCAATGAAATATTTTTGCAACATAACCTGTCCCCCTTACTGCATAAACATTCAACCCTTTTTTTGTATTCTCTCCTTTTATATGAGTAAAAACCGTATTTGTTTCTGGTTGAGAATGATGCGATGAAGTTTCAGGTTTTAAGGTCATTCGATAGAAAGGACAAGACGGAGGTTATGAAAATAACCAACCAACAACAATAACAGCAGCAACATCCAGCGCCAATCACCATCAAAGGGAGGGATTTGAAAGAGGTTACTTCATTCACTTCACTTATCTAGGGAGCATTGTCTCAACCACGGGAAGTCGGAACGAACGAGGATGTCGAATCGAGCGAGAATCGGGAAGGCGAGAAACATATTCATCAACTTGAAACCAATCTAATCTGGAAATCTTCCTCACTCAGCATCAACAACAAAATTCAGTAGGATTTTCAATACAAAGGTCAATTTAGTTCTTCTGTATAGAACGGATCAGAAACTTGGAGGGTCACAAAGAATATTTCCAACAGCCTGTTGTAGACCTTTATCAACAACTGTCTTCGCTATATGCTGAAGATCAGATGGCCTGGCCGGAAAGAATCGCCAACAAGAAACTATGGGAAAAAACAAAACAAGAACCAATCACCCAACAAGTATGCAGGAGAAAGTGGAGATGGATTGGACACTCGTTGGGTGACATCGCGGGCGCATCAGGCCATTGGTCGAGTGGAACCAGGCCGAAAGGGAAGCGACGAGTGGGACATCAGTGCAAGGGTGACATGGAGGAGATCGTGTAAAAAGGAGTTGAAAGAGTATGGACTAACATGAATGGGTGCAGGTGGAAAGTACAGCAGAAGGAAGACAGAAGTGGCAAGTGGAGACGTGCAGTTGAAGCCCTATGTTCCACTAGGAACCCAAGGGAACAATAATAATAATGATAGAGAGGACGTGACAGAGGGGATTAGAAGTCATTCTCTCAAATGATGAATGATGAATGTGTCACACACATATTGAGCTAATGTCTACCTCAATGCGTTATCTAAGCTACACTAGATTATTATATTATTATTTCCTTTAATTCCTAGAGAAACGTAGGGCTTCAGCCGCACACGTCTCCATTGCGTTCGGTTCTCTGCTAGAGTTTTCACCTGGCTCCAGGTCTGCCCTCATGCTTTCATCTCGTCTTCATATGACCTCCTCCTTGTCACCCTTGCATTGACGACCAACTCGCCGCGTCCCTTTCGGGTTCCACTTGAGCAATGGCTTGTCTAGTGATGTCACTTGATGGTTTCCCCAGAGTATGGCCAATCCACCTCCATTTCTTCTTGTCTATTTGTTGCACAATCGGTTCCTGGTTGGTTCGCTCATAGCCAGAGATCTCTGTTTCTGATCTTCTCTGGCCATCTGATCTTGAGTATTGAGCAAAGGCAGCTGTTGATGTAGGTCTTTAGATTGCTTGAGGTGCTCTTTACGACGCGCCAAGTCTCTGATCCGTATAGTGAGTAGCACTGACTGACTTCACATTGGAGTTGAAAATCCGGATCTTATTTTTGATGCTGAGTGCTGTTGACCTCCACACAAACCTAAGAGTAATGAAAGCTTGTCTTGATTTTCCGATTCTTACTTTGATATCCTCATCAGTTCCGCCTGTAGTTGAAACGATGCTTCCCAGGTAAGTGGTAAAGGAGGTTGTTCCTTTCAGGTTCCTCTCATTTATGCTGATTGTTGTCTGTTGTCGTTGATGTGGCTGTTGCTGTTGGCCAGGAATCTTCATCATCTAACTCTGTTTTCTCCTTATGTTCACCTAAAGTCCTTCTTACCTTTGATGCTTCTTCTGTCAACTTGTTGCTTTTCACTTGCTGCATATCTTCCAATTTGTGTGAAATTAGACATATATCATCACCGGCGAAATCCCTATCCTCCAATTTTTTTTTGTGGCTCCATTTTATGCCTGTTTCCTCGCTGCCCGTTGTCTGTCGGATTATCCGATCTAATGCAATCAGGTAAATCATTGGTGATAGTAGACAGACAGCCTTGTCTTACTTCCGTCTTCACTTCGAAGCTACACCAGAAGTGAACTGGATGCATGAACATCAACAATGATCATCACACCAAGATATAATGTATCATAGAACTAGTTTATTAAGCTTTTTAAAATGTTGATATGAGAACTATAAGAATATAATGTCGTTGAAATTTCACCAGGTAACACTTGAAAAGTTTTCCAGATTGATCATAGTACTATGAGAGAATGCCTTTAGTTCTTAGCTACCTTCTCAAGAATCAGAGTGTTGTTTGATTTGATCTGATCTGATCTGCTTTAATTGAGAAGCTGTCATCATCTTTCTAAACAGACATCTTTAGAATTTAACTGATGGATGTTGACTAGCAGTGGAATCCAGGACAACTGGCATTTCGTCCTATTTGAGACTCGTGGTCAGCTGGATGTACCTGCATTCCCCCCCCCCCCCGCAGTGGGTGATATTCCTAAATTGGGCGAAATGCGCGTTGTCCTGAATTCCACTGCTAGTAACCATCCTTGCAACTAAATGCTAATTACATGCCCAGACATCGTCGAATCATCTCCACAAGAAGCCGACATGACAACCTGAGACTGAGCAATTCGGTCCAATCAATCGACCGGAAAATTTAAAATTCAATTAGACATCTTCAGAGTTAACGGATGAAATATCCGTCAAAAAATCCTTCTCCTCCCCCCTTCCGCTACCGGTAACGTACGGATATTTCATGTATTGCGAATTCGCGCAAAGGTCAATTTCCTGTAAGGTGGTTAGCGGTAAAGATGTCCTCTTTGTAACAACAACATCAAAATCTGTATTTTAAATGTAATTCTGCTCCTCACCCCTCACCCATTTTTTGTGCTCTTTATATGCTATTGTGTGAAGTATAATAAGTAACCAGATTAGATAACTTTAGCTGATATAACACCACATCGTGGGATGCTGCATCAATGATAGCTGGATGACGAGATGTCAACCAATCAATCAATCAATAGTCTCCTTAGCGTCTGTCCTATGCATCCTCTTCTTTCGTCGGTATACTTGTTGGGTAGTAAGTTATTGGTCAACTCATTTCCAAAGTTCCCTGGTTGCTAGTCTTTTCTGGTCGGCCACCTGATCTTTTTATTATTGAGCGAAGGATACAACCTGTTGGGAATGCTTTTCTCGTGAAATGCCAGGTCTCTGAACCAACCAATCCTGTTCCCTGAAATATCCAGGTCACATTTAGAATGAAGGTAGCGAGTTTTGGAAAATATTTTAGCCTTGTAGTAAACAGTACTTATCATTCCCTTCAAGTAGGTGATCAAGAAATGCCCTATCCTGACATATGGTGATTACTTCTTATTTTTTACGAGTTATTTTTTGTTTGCATTTCACACTACTGATATTCATTTTAAGTAGTGTAATTATGTTTGCAAATTGTTTCGTCCTAACAATATCGTATGCCATGTATATATATGATTATGACTGACCTCTAAACAGTTAAGCAATCATATTTTGGTTATTTTATCAGAATTTTGATCACGGAGTTATCAGCGGTATACCAGGTTCGATTCAGTTTAGACAGCTGAATTAGTTCAAACCACTTGAATCTTACGATGGTTGTAATGACATATTCAGAATTACGGAGTTTTCTCAGTTTGTAGAAGTCAGAATTTTCTGAGTGTAGAGCAAAAAGGTACTCACTAATTAGTTACAAACTACTTAATAACATTGAAATAAAGTTAGACTATAATATGGTCTTAGAGCTGTCGTAAAACATTAAGTAGGGTGGGTACATCATCTTGGAGCATTTATATTGTATGAACCCGAATCCCAGAAGACAACTGCTTGGGGGATTTTACGAGCCCTCCTTGAAATGGTTCCCGGAGGTAAGTTGAACTGAGCAATTTTCGAGGTCGACCTTCACCAGCCGCCCCCCTCTCCTCACTACCCGGAGCAGAGAAGTAACATAGCTATGGCTTCCTGATCATCTGATGGAAGCACCTCACTGCTGCTACATTCCTATTCACCAACAATACAACTCGCCCAAAGACCCCTTCCCAACATAGATTAAATAGCTTACTCTATGATGGTCATCGCTTTCAGTCTAACCGCTATCCAAACGGCCTTTCTAATATGGTATCACCTTCAGAAACATTTGTTCCTCTAGCCAGGCCAGTGTAGCTCTTCAAGTACTCTGGCGATGGTTGGCTGTAAAGGGAATGCCGAGAAAATACATTGCACTGGTCAAGGCTCTACTTAAACTCATGCAGTCAGGTGAGGGCTTACGGCGAGTGGTTATCTGAAGTGGTGACGACTTGTGGTGTCCGTCAGGGATCCCAGCTATCCCCATTTTGATTCAGTTTCGTCGTAGATGTACTAATGGACTTAACCCTAAGTGACTTCAACGACTCAGGGATTGATTGGCTACCATCAGGGAATGATCTCGTTGATTCGGAATACGCAGACGATATAATCATCCCTCCGAGGTGAAGTCGCTGACAAAATGCAGAGTCTTCTGAACACCTTGGGCTGCAATCTGCGAATGTTTGGAATGCGATTCTCTCCCGCCAAA